TTTTGTCCAGTAGAAACGCAAAGAAAGTGACCAATCAAAGAAGCAAAGACATCAGCCACTGTCCCCGCCTCCAAAGCTCCAAAAGTCAACTTTGCGAGTGAATGAGTGTTGAGATGTGTGACTGCAGATGTGCATGCAGAGCAGAAACGCTCCCTTGTGAGGATACTGCTCTGTGTGCTCACGGTTTTAATACGTGCGACTTTTGAGGCTAATGAAACACCATATTTTTGTTAAGAATGTTGATTCTCTCAGAGTTTGAAAATAGCCCACATTTAATGTTCCTCCATATTCTAAACCACATACCAAACCCCATAAAGGCTTCACCTCCCGCCAGAGGCTGAGTGGTTCTCTCTGTCCACGGCCTGCACCAAAATCAACTCAGATTTGTATATTTACTGTGCAGTGCTTTAGTTCAAACAAGTCTGTCCCGAACTGAAAACTAGAGTCATACACACACATATACTCAAATGAGGGGTGTGTGTTTATGTGTTAACTGGAGTGGACCACAGAGAATCTATTCATGCAGCATACAGTTTGTACCCACACACACGCACACACACACACACACACACACACACAGACACACACTCCCTGAGCCTTGTAAAAGACTAAAACCAGTGTGTGATGCAAAGTAGGTGTGAGGTCAGGCACAGCAAACTGTGGTGTGTTTTCCACTCTGGAGCTGGCTCACAGGAAAGGGGCAGTGATTTTGGGGGAGCTGTGCCTTACTGAGACACAGTGTTGTGTTCTCCCAGACAGAGGGGGAGGAAAAGGAGGGAGGAGGAGGATGGAGGCGGAGAAGAGGTACAGGCACATTACCCCAGATGAATCACTCAGAGCAAGGACTCCTTGCTCTGAGTGATAGTTTTTGACCTGATGTTCTGTCTGGACTTCTGCCTGCCCGTCTGGAGTGAATCCATCCTTTGGATCCCCTGTTTGCACCTTTGTTAGAAGCTGTGGATACTGACTGAGAGGCAACATGATTGACTACGGTAAGTCGGAATTCCACTACCACTACCAATGCTGAAGGGTCTTTAACAGGGATGTTTTATTAGTGCAAGTCCATAGTTATCTGAACCACATGTCTCTCAGACTGGAGTCCAACTTGACATGTATGACTATAAAGATTGTATGACAGGAAAGTAAAAGAAAAAATGTTGTTTCTGAAGGAGAATACACAAATTACATAACACTGTGTAGGTTCATTCCAAGGCGACCTTTTAGAGCACAAATAGCCCAGTGAGGCAAGCACAGGATGGGCATGGATTCCTCTCCACTCTTCCCACAGCCAAGCTTATGGTTACTGACAGCACACTGTTGTCATTCCACACTGACACAACAGAGGCCGGACCAGTGGAACCTCGCTTGAGAGTGTGAGATCATTTGCATAACAAGAATTCAAGATCCATCAAGCCAAAAAAAAAAAAATCTCTATAATAATCTCTACGATGTGCACACATTGTCAAAGTGGTGAATTATTCATTTGCAGCGTGACTGAGAGGTTTTCCTTCCAGGTGGCTCTCTCGGTTGTTATAGGTCCTGCTCCGTCTCACAGACTGGAAAAATCCCCAGAGAAAACTCCAAACAACACACACGTTGTTCGGCCGTGTAGCAACTCCACCCTCTGCTTTCTCTTAATCAGGTTCTGTCAGGCTGGTGTTCCTGCCTCGCTAATGCTACAGGCAACAAGTATGGTTTCTCTGAGGACATGTAGCTACACATTCCCACACACACACACACACATATATATATATATGGATATATATATATATCTATACATATGCAAAAATGTATACACACTATTAATTCAGCTTCTATCCTAAACACACACTTCATGACCCACGCTACGGTCTCTTCTCCTCCTCCCCCAACTTTTCCTCTTCCTCCATGTCTTCATACTAAACAGTGTTACTGCTGTGTGCCATTACATCAATAGAGCAGTGTGTGTCAGAGGAAAGTTGGACTCACCCTGTACTTCTGCTAACATCACAGGAGGCAGTCAGCATCTTCAAGGCTCTGAAGCAAGTGGTTTTTATGAATCTATAGGCTTTAAATATACATATTAACCAACGACAGTTCCACCTGATCTTATGTATTTATTTATGATAAATGACCATATTAATGTGCTGAAATATAGTGGTGTGGAAATAGTAAATAGAACATATTCTGTAGTTTGGAGGACTTGTAGCATACTGAAGTACATTATCTCAGTAGATGTACTCCCTAAATTACAATATATTTTTAGCAGTGTGCAAGTTCTGCTAGATGGCTGCTCAAATTCAGAAATAACATTTGTGTTAGATCTGCAGAACTCACCTGCAGCTCCAGAGTTTTTCACCGAATTCAAAGATTAGAACTGAGAACAGACATAGTACTGCTGCAGGTCTGACCTGGTTTTATCTAATTGGACATTTGAATTTATATTCACATATTCTCATATCTCTGAATGATTGGTTTAGAGACAGTAGGTAGGATTGATTTCCATCCTACCATTGTAAATGTTCCCACTGTGCTGGCATACATCCAGCTGGACAGCGTATCGGTCTATGAAACAGAAGAGAGAGGGAGATGGAGACTATGGGGCTTAGAGGCCTCCAGCATAGAGATCCATGTCTCTGTTTCCTGTCTATCTGGCCAACAAAACAGCAGACTAATGCTTCATAATTACTAACACACTTCCAGGATCACAGCCACTGATCCACCAGAAAGGCAAGTCTTTCTTCCATGCTCAGTCCCTTGAACCTGGGGGTTATTACTGATGTATTTATTTATTTGGTTATTCAGATGTCTGTTTACCCCGTTTTTATTTTGTTTAGCATCATTTTAGTGTCATTTTAATTTAATTTTCTTAATTTCCTTTCTTCGTGGTTGAGGTCAGTGGTGGTCATTCAATAGAGGGCGCATGCGCAGCTTAATTCAGGGTGGGCAAACTTTCATCCATCCCTCTGTTCTCTGCTGCTTATCTGGAATCATGTCGTGGTGGAAGCACATTAAGCAAGGTAGTCAAAACCCCCCTGCTGTGTGTGGAGGTGAGTCCAAAGTTGCTACTGCTCCACCTCCTCCCCAACTCTGGCTCCTTCCCCACCAGAAAGGTCGTATTCTATATCCCTATAGTCTACAAAGCCAGGGATCAGCACGTTCGGGGTTCCCTTGCCTGCCATCCAGCTTGCATTGCAGCCAATCCCAATATCCTTTGCAGGCCCAAAGAATGGTGGCTCCATGTAAGTTTTTTGGGCTGGGTCAAGGTCCGGCCACCAAACGCTCACTAGTGAAACCCCCTCCCAGGTTTGGCTCCAGGAGGGAGCCCCAGTCTAGGAAAATGTATATTATTTAATATCTTTAATGAATGCCGCCAGGGCTCTCTCAATCAAAACAATAAAAAGCAAGCAAAAAGCATTTTTCCCATAAACCTCCATTATAACAGATGTCTGTAAAACTGTTGACAGGACACTTCCAAGTGAAGCCAAGATGGACTTTTTCTGTTGAGATGTGAAGTCTATTTTGATTAAAGTGAACACCATCCTCGAGTCCAGTATCCGGATGCTATAATACATCCATGGATTGAGTCACTTTTTATATGCACTGTTGCATATTTGTATTGCTTTAACTGTCACAGCAGCAGTACAGTTTAATTATTGAGCAGAAAAGTACAATATGACAACCAAGTCAAATATTTTATTTCATGTATGAAAAACAGGAATAAGCATTGATGTTGAATTTACATTTTTAAGTTTAAATAAACTTTTAGTCCTTTTAGTTTGATTAATTTTCTGGAGGATCCCTCTGTAGATTACATGGCCAAAAGCACTAATGGCTACTGGCTGACATGTAGATAAAACTGAGAGCTGACTTTCTGCCTTGTGGTCAATGTTTGAACAAGTCTGTTATATTTCACCTGCATGCTGTAATATTCAGAGCACAGAGGGGTATTTGTCAGCATATGGGCTACCACATCACTGTAACATAGCAGCAAAAGCCTGTTCAGTCTTGGTACAAGCTACGGGCATATTACATTTTCATTCACCACAAGCTCAGTCTTTCCTTCTACTAAACTGGGTGCAAAATTTGCATATAGCAGACAGAATTATCTTTCATCCAGAGCAACATCTACGCTATTACTGCAAACTTCTAGACCAGGATAAAGCATTTTATCTTACCACTAAGAGTTCTCCTAAGTCACACTAAGTTTCTAACTTAAAGTTTTCTCCTAAGTCCTCTTCACAAAGCTGCTAAAAACAACTTTTACTAAGGAAAAGTGAAAACTCCTGAGCAGTGATTGGTTGATGAAAGACCATCTGTGTCAGTGAAAATGCATTCGAAAAAACTGCAGTAAGAATAAAATAATATCTGTCCATTAAGATCAGCGACTCGTGTTTAGATCCTGGACACTGTGCAACAATGTCTACAGCTGTACAGGCAGCATCAACACAACCTGTGTGTTGATGGTGTGATCTTGTTTTCCTGTTTACAAACACCTCCTCCTCTTGTGATGGTTCAATCATTTTAACATGCTTCCATCTCTGGCAGCGATCACAGCAGGTAGACCGACCATGAAGCTGCTTTATTTCTCTGGAGTTGTAGTTGTTGTTGTTGTAGTTTCTAAAGGAAATCGTATGAATTGTTCTATAATGTGGGTCTACAGAGACATTTATTGTTTGGTGAACAGATCGCCTTACAGAAGGCGGAGTGATCTCCAAGTTGTCAGAATTGCATAGTTGTATTTTCTCTGTTGCCAAGTAACGCAGCGTTTCCAAACCCTTACGTTCCGCACTGATCGTGTTGTTTCAGTTGGAGATGTTATTGCAAACCCCTCACAAACTCCACAACGCTCATTATTCCCTCATGATTGAGTCGTATCTTTTAAGTAATTCAGCATCGTGTAAGGTTTCCAGAGCACTGTGATATGGAATGACAGCAGCTCTTTAAGATTCTTTGTGATTTGGTCTTAGTGAGTTAAGAGTCCTCTAGACTGCGTGCTAGTTAGGAGCTACTTTGTGAATATGGGCCCTGGTGTTCTCAACCTTTTTAGTACAGCTGACTATGGCCTATGGGTTAGGGAAAGTATATCATGACTGGGACTGGGAACAGTTGACATAGCTTGGATGATATATAACAGGAAGTTGGGCCTTTTATCTACCCTGCCTCCTCTGTGGAAACTCTCAAACTCCCTTATACATGTAAATCACGAAAGAGGTAATCTGTGATTGATTGGGGTCCAACATATAGTCTGGTATGCTTCTCAGCCAAGCCAGGACAAGAATAGATGACTCTATGATGATGTAATCTGATACAGTGACTATCTCAAAAGAACAAAATAACATGTCCCACTGATCCCCACCTGTGCAATGGTTCACCCTTTTTTGAGAGGCCTATTTTGCCTAATCACCAAAAACTAAACCTTCAGCAGCCACAAAGGTCGACCCACGTCATTAATGTTCAGTCAATGTGAGCATCAACATCACACACATCTGGAGAAGTGCTCAAACCTTCTGATTGTGAGGTGGCTGGGAGAGATGATAGCAAGATAATGATGTCAGACCAGAGGCTTTATGGGTCTCAGTCAAAGAGCCTCTGCACATTGTTTACTAAGAGTTCATCGCAAATGTGAGAGGCCATCTACACTAGCATGTATAATGCATTTGAGGGGTCGTTCTATAGTGCTCTCTGGAGTGTGAAGCGTTGATGTGTACAGACCACCATTCACTCCAGCCCATTAATGGCACCATGGTGAACACCATTATCTCTTCTCACATACTATAGATTATGTAAACCTTAAGATATGAATTGAGCTAAGAGTGAGCCTCTATTACCTCATCAGCTGCTGCGTTTGTGTCCATGTCCTTTAGTGATTTCAGATTTGGCATGCCATTGTGTGTGTGTGTGTGTGTGTGTCTCAACAGCAGTCTGATTAAATTGCAGTCATGAGGACAGAGAAAAACGCTGTCATTTTTTTTCAAAGCTGGGAAAGAAAAGCGCTTTTATCTCTGTTAGCCTCCACAATTGCCTCAGCAGTTTCTCAGAACACTTACACACACGGATGCAGTCAGACTGTCCTAACTGAATTTTCTAATTGCTCTCCAGAGCGTCCCTCTCCATTAGGCTTCGGGCCGGCTGGGAGGAGTGAGCTCCAGGCACACACATATACACACACACTGACGGCCATGCCTCAGAGATACTCCCACCAGAGGAGGAAAGCCAGCACAGCGGCTGCTAGGAGGATGGAGAGAAGACACAGGGACCAGGGGAAAAGCAGCATAAACAACTCAACCGGCAGCCACAACCACCGCTCCAAGAAGCTGGCCATGCTCTCCAGGTACCAACAGCAGTCAGAGGCTTACACCGAGAGCTGTACAGAAAGCTCAAGATGCGTAAAGTTAGGTTACTTACCATTTTATTGGTGTGTAGCTGTCTTTATAGGCTGATGTAAACCTTTATTTGATTGAGTTTTGCCTCATGGCGACTAGAAATAATAGTTTGAGTATTTTTTTATTTGATTTTTCTGTTCTGATGTGGTCTCGCAGGATTGCCATTTATGTTACTGAATACCTGAAACTGACTTTCTGACTTTAACTGACCCTGTCCAGGTCCCTGATCCTGTGTCACTCTAAGACGAATGATGACTGTGTAGAAGAGAGGCATGCTGGGGAAGTGTCAGATGAGTGCAGGACGTGGGCTCCGAGCTGGAGGGCAGACGTGACTGCTGGGGTTCACACAGGGTACGAAGATACAGAGAATGGACACCACAGGACAACCCAGCAATCAGCCCTGGAGAAAAGAGGAGGCAGTAAGGCAGATGATCAGCTGCATCAGACCAACACACTCAGGGAGACTAAAAGAAGTATAAGGAGATCCTTCAGCATCAAGGTAAGACTGCAGGAGTTGGCATTAGAGGTATCATTTGCATATAAAGTTAATCTAAGCATATTTTAGATCAGTTCTAAACTCTCTCATCTCGAATCTCCTTTAAATCAGCAAGATATATAGTCTGTTTGATCGTTGATAGTTATTATTAAACCTATAGCCATGGTGGTTGGTTGGTCAGTCCATCACTTTAGTCCAGACTGAAACATCTCAAGAACTGTTGGACGGGCTGGTCTGTTTTACAGACGTTCACGGTTCCCGGTGAATGAACTGCTCTACCTCCTGAGCCACCGTCGCTCCAGTGTGACATTCAGAATTTACATTTCACTTCCTACTAGGGATGTCCCAGTCAAGTTTTTTTCACCACTGATCCAGATCCCAGTCATTTAATACTCCTGCTCTGATTCTTCACACAGGGCAAACTTCAATTACATTAAAGTTATTCAAATCAATCCAATATGCTTGACATTTGAATAGCTCTGCAATGCATTAAGAAAAAATAAAACTTCGTGATTTTTTTTGTTATTTTTAAATCAAAAGTGGAGTTGCTCCAGTGCAGTGTGGCTAAGCAATGACAAGGGGCAAATGTCTGTGGTAAAGCCAAAAGCGGTCATGAACCTTGCTGTAAAGCTCTGATACAGTGTCTGACATGTAGTGTGGAGAGAGGAGGCTGTACCGTGGTCTCAAAAGCTTCAAAAGTCAGTGAAAACCTGTGTTCTCTACCACTCACTGTATTCCATTCAGTGTTTATATTTTAGGTGCCGTAGTACAGAACGCAGCTCTGTTACTACCACCTCATGAAATGCTGGCACTGCAGACATTATGTGTGGCTGTTGCTTTCACTTTCCATTTTAAGATATTTCCACACTGCAGACAGATTAGCCGAGTGCTGCCACAAATTGCGCTCTCTGTTTACAACACCTGTGTGAAAGCTGATGTGAAAAATGAAAAAGGATCGGTCTTAGGTTCACGCTCAGTAAAGCCGATACCGATCACTTAAAAAATGCCACTGATTTAAGAGAGTGAAGCGGCCAAAGAGGCCGCTGTTCAGCAAAAATGACTGTATGTAAACAACAGCTAATGATGATATTTTCTGCTGAGGACAGTCTCATAATGACTCACAGTTCCAAGTCACTGCACTGTTACAATCGTGTTTCCATGCATTACACAGTAGATAGTTTAGAGTCAGTTTAATGATAACATGTTTCAGCACACGTGGTTCCTATAGCCGTCTGTCAAATGACTGACTGACTGAAACATCTGCTGTTTAACATACATTTCTAAACTGCCACATTCATTACTTACCCAGCAACAAACTCAAACCAAAAAAGGTCACTGGTTATAATGTTGTGGCTGATCAGTGTCTGATATCAGTGGTCAGTAGCTAATGTGATTTTAAACCTGTTCTGTAGTTTGAGATATTTTCCATGGCTTCATGGCTCGACTGTGTCAAATACACACCAATCAGCTCCAACATTAAACCGGTTACCTGTTTTAATGTTGTGGCTGAATCCTGTATATTCATATGTGGAAATCAGTGTTTGTTGTTTATCCCAACGTGCTAGTTCTGTGTTATGTACTCTGTGGGGAATGAATCTTGTCTAAATGTAATGATAATCACATGCCCTCCGTTGGTGTGTTGGTGGACAGAGAGCTGTGACTGGCCTGAATGTTAAACATTCAGACAAAGACAGGGTTTGTTGAGCTGTGCTGTTTCTACAGTTCGCCTCATGGAACATTCCCCCAGAGTCAAATAGGGATAGACGGTCTGTCATTTATCACGCATCTTATATGTGATAGATACCGTGGAGTTTAGATAGTGTCGAGTTTAAAGTCATTGTCTCTGCTCATGGTCACTGATACTGTATAGTCTAGTGGTTTTCTGATTTCTGTATCTGTGGTCAGTACTGAGCTCATACTAATGTTCGAATGTTTCCATTAAACACACAGTCTGTATCTTCTGCCTCTAGGGGTCTCTCAATCAAAACAATAACAAAAGATAGCATTGGGTGACATCATGAACTAGCCTAGCATTGTGGGAGTTATTGTCTTCACCACGATTACCGTAAGCTCCTCCCGGTTTGGATTCCTTCAGTATCAGTGGTTCAGGAAATCAAACAGACCTGGTGATTCTAACTGTTAAAAACACTGAATGAAGCAGTTTGACATGTAAAGTCAGTGTTGGAGCGACGCTGTACGGAGGACAGAGACTCAGGGAAGAGTTGGAGCTGAGATTGATGCTAACCTTTGTTCTGATTGTTTCTCTGATAACTTATGAAGCAGACGTTCAGCAGGTTTTTACCAGCAGCTGAATTCTCCACAGAGGTGTCCTCCTCTCCACAACAAACACACCAGGGGATTAAAACCAGTAGAAACACCCAGAAAGCAGTTTACCTTTAAAAAGCAGAGATTCAGCGACGCTCTTCAGTGACACAGGACAGGACGTCTCCAGCAGCTGGGAGCTGAGCTGTCTAACATTTCCTCAGCTTGTTTCTCTGATAACTTCAGATCCAGACGTCCGACGACTAAAATCCTTCATCTGCTTCAAATATAGAGCTGAAAACCACCAAGGTATCAAAAGTGTATGTGGCTTAAAACTAGATAAAAGTCAATGTTGAGCTTCTGTCAGACAAACACACTGACACATGATCATAGAGGATATGATGTCACTGACAGGCGACCAATGAAATGTCACGATGAATAAAATCACAGATTTCTCTGTTCTGAGAATTGATGGAATCATTTGGGAAAATGTAGGAACACAACTCAACAACACATAGAACACAGGTCTAGATGTTTTTAGACATTTTAATGTGGAAAAGTTACAGATTATAACTTTAAAAGAGTAGTCCATCAATGTAGCATTGCACTCCTGAAACATTGTTCACAATGGACAATTTTAATTTTTTAAAATGTATCAAAATTGATGCAGCAGAAGCAGAGATATCGTCTAATGTAGCCTCAAATCACTCATGCTTACTTCTTTCAAACTTTCAGGTAAATGATAGATTTTCATTAGTTGGAGGCAGTGTGTGTTGTTTTCAGATAACCATCACGCATCTGCATTCTAACCTAGAGCTGGNTTAATTTTTTAAAATGTATCAAAATTGATGCAGCAGAAAAGTCTAATGTAGCCTCAAATCACTCATGCTTACTTCTTTCTAATTCCATACAACTTTCAAACTTTCAGGTAAATGATAGATTTTCATTAGTTGGAGGCAGTGTGTGTTGTTTTCAGATAACCATCACGCATCTGCATTCTAACCTAGAGCTGGAAGACAACTGCTTTCACCTGTTATACCTTACATCATCTAAACTTGTTGTAAAGAAACATTTATTCCAAAGTTGACAACAATAGTGCAAAAGAACAAAGTTACACAGCTAAAGCGCATATTGATCAAAGTATCTGAATAAAGAAGCATTTCTTGTCTCCTGGCATTTGGCCACATTCAAAGTGTTATTATTCACTCTTGCATGTGTGATTATCAAAAGATAATGCACTGCACAGGAGCCTTGGGACAATGTCATAGTAATAGTGTTTTCTGTTGCTTTTGATAGGGACACATACTGAACAGATGTGAAGCATCACTACACATTACACATCAGCTGATTGGACATACAGTGCATTGTAAAAAGACATTATATACATTTGGTTATTCAGTCTATAGATAGTAATGGACTTTATTAAAGTAGTAAGGCTTTTTTTAAAACAAGCATTTACTGTCATTCTTACTAACATTTTATAATTGGCACACAACACAACAAGTGCAAATGAGGCTGATGGGAATGTCAAATATGACACAATGATGGTACTAGATAAAAAGTCAGGAGATCACCAAAGATATCACAATTCATCAGGAGGGGAAGACAAATGTCTGGACTAAAGAGATGGACCAACCAACAACATGATCCCTGCAGCCACACTGCCTGATACGATCATGTGTTATAGTCACCAACGACTCATGCCTAGAGTTATGTGCTAAGTCAGAAGTTACTAGGAAAAGCCAGTCTATTCTATGCTACTATAAATACATTAACCATGGACAACACAGACTGCGTGCCAATCATAGTGAACACTCTACAGCTGGATGTTGTGTACCACTTCATGGACTAAAGCCCAGGGCGATAAACAAGCCTCACTGAAGCTGAACTCAACAGTAATTTAATGGAGCAGTGTTTTCCTCTGGGGCTAATTCATGCCAGGTCGAATATAAATCACTCTTGATCACCTTCTAGACAGAAACAGTATCATTGGCTTTTATTTTGAGACTAAATCCTTTAAAGCAACAATGGTTTATGAAGGTAAATAAAGCCATGTTGACACTTCTTCTCTGAATTATAAATTCCAGTTAGAAGTTTACAATAATCATCTCAAACACTGAGACACTACAGTCTCACGACAGGACAATCTGGCTTCAGATGTCACACTGACCCTTATGAGTTATTACAAAAGCAAGTTTAACAGTGATTCAGTCATTTCATACTTTTCAGTTAATTCTACCAGTTACTGGCATAAAAGAAATACCTCTTTAAAGAACGCCGCCATGGGGTCTGCATTGTATAGAAGTTTCCTGTGTGTGTGTGTGCGTGTGTGCATGTGTGTGCGCGTGTGTGCGCGTGTGTGCGCGTGTGCGTGCGCGTGCGTGTGTGTGTGTGTGTTGTCATAGGAGAGCAGTATCTGGAGGATGTGTGTAGCTACAGGGCCTGCTGAGGAGGTGCGTGGACCACATGTGGCTGATAACAGCGTCCAGACTGAGGACAAAGACGCTAATGTGGAGCCAGGGAGGAACGGAGGGAACCAACACAGGTGATTAAAGACAAAATGACAACTTTATTAATGCTTTACTTCTTAGAAATCTGCACAAAAATACACTTGGCTCATTATCAGAGTAAATGAAAGTGTAGCAGCAAAAAAAAAGAAAAGCATCACCACCAAGGAAATAATGATTCATTCTACATACAGTAGGTGAACAAAATGCTGATGTCTGACATAGACCACATTT